TTGCACACATGGTGTTAATCTGGAAAGCAGACTTTCCATACCAGCATTTTTTGCACAGTTAAAAAGTGTAGGCCTAAAAGGCATGTTTAAAATTATTAATATTTCCTCCTTTTTATATTAAACATGCAATTTTGTTTATCCCATAGGACCCTACATTTACTAGAAAACTGCTGAAATGATATCAAAGAGGGAAGGGACTGAAATATGCAGAAATGAAGACAAAAAGGGATTTTACCTTAATTGTTTTGGTTAATAATTGTTTACCTCCCATGCCTAATGAACAGCTGGGAGAAAGAATGTCTTGTTAGACAAAACCACAATATTTTTGTACCTTGGCATATGGAGTCCTGATATTGCAAAATTAAAAATTAAAGGGAAAAAACAGTTTTGGGAGGGAAGAGAGAGCTTTTTGGCCTTTGCATATGAGGAAAAGAAAGCACAAAAACAAATTTTAAAAATTCTTTGCAGTTCACTTTTAAACATATAAGTATAATTTAGGAGAGGATGCAGTTAGTTAGAAATTGACAAACCAGAGGATTTTAAAAGCAAACAGGCTAGGAGAGCATAGAAATCAGTTCAGGGTTTTTTTTTCTTTTGGCTTTTACTTGAATTCCATTCTAATTAGCACCAAAATACACCGACTGTTTTCTTCTGATTATGCTCTGTGAAAGATTAAAAGTAGTCCTTGACATGTCTGACACTTTGTCGGTGAATGCTGTCTGGAATAAACCTGGGCCCTGATTCTTCTCCCTCTCAGATTTTATGCCTCTCTGACTGTGTTGACTTCAGTGGATTTATTCTGCAGCTGCTGTCAGATGAGTAATTGTCAGGTTCCTGGTCAAATATTGGTGCTTTCATCAAATGAATTCTGATCTGGCTATCTTACTGCAGGAAAAAAACCTGTCTTAATTAAAGTTATGTCACTGCTCAGTGACCAGTCCCCACTTCCCTTGACTTTTTTGTGACTCATCACACACATATTGTATGTATTTCAGTTTGGAATGAATAGTATAGTTTATTATTAAAATAGCCCTTGGTTTGCCGATGTAACAGACTGCTAATGTGGGCTCACCAGATTGGCTT